GTGATCGTGCTTTCTGAGAATCATCGACAAGGCTCACCAGATAACCCTGGCAGTTTCCTCGTCGTAGCAACTTGGTGGCTTTCGCCATCAAAACAATATGAGGCAATGAACGATTCCTGGTGCCAAAGAAGGTAATCGAATCATCTCCCGGAAGATAGAGAGTAATCTCCCGGTCATGACATCGGATATCTGCGTGATAAAAGGATAGCCAATCCATTCCGAGAATGAGGTTAAAGTCCCTCATCTCAAGAACATACGCGTCGATAGACAATGAACGACCACCGATGGAAAGACTGAGATTTGAAGCTTTAGCAGTGGTCACTATCTTTCGTCCCGAGGCTAAACTCACCTCGAGAGGATCGACAGCGGAAATAACATGATCTCCGATGGCATCAAGGCATCGTCGTGAAATAAAGGAGTGCGTCGCTCCGGTATCGAACAAAGCAAACACAGGAACATTATTAAGCATGATCATCCCTGACATAGTACCTGGCTGCTGCTCGGCCTCGACCTGATCGACTGCGTAGACTCGGGCCTGCTGTCTGCCCCTCTGCTGCTGCTGCTGAGGCGCCCTCTGAGCCTGCTGACGGGGCTGCTGCTGCTGCGGTGGCTGCTGAGGCTGCTGTGGAGGCTGTTGTGCCTTCTTCAGACAATGATTAGCAAAGTGTCCGGGCTCGTGACAATAATAGCATACATCCTGGCCAAAGCGACACTCACCTCGGTGAAGTCATCCGCAAGTGGGGCACGGTGGAACCTGCTGCTGTCTGCCGGGTCCTCCTGTCGGTCTGAGCGCCCTTCTCCTTCCTCTTCTTCTCCTTCCTCTTCTTCTCCTTCGTCGACTGGGCAGCTGGTAGGGCTGGTGGAGCTGTGGATGACTGGGAGGGGGCAGATGGCTGAGAACGATTGCGGCTGGCCTCCCTCCGGATGCTGGCGTCTACCTCCTGGGCAATCGAAACGGCTCGAGCATAGGTCTGGGTCCTGTGACCTACAATGTTGTGACGGACTGCTGGGTAAAGCCCGTTAATGAAGCACTGTGCCCTCTGTGCCTCCGTACGAACCAAGTCAGGAACGAAAGCTGCAAGTCTGGTAAACTCCCTCTCGTACTCGTCAACAGAACGAGTACCCTGCTTGAGCGACAGAAACTGACGCTCCATCTATGCCATGTAATAAGTGGGGTAGTACTTCTCGCGGATTAGCTCCTTGAGCCTATCCAAGGTACAACCCTCCTTCTCGTCGGGACGCATGCTCCAGTAGGCATTCCACCAGAGTCGAGCATCACCGGTTAGCTGAAGCTGAGCGCAGATAACGCGATATCTTTCTGGACAATCCATGACCTCGAAAATCAACTCAAGGCCCTGAATCCACTCGTCCACAATACGGGGATCTCCCTGACCGGAGAATTTCTCAGGGTGATAGTCGCGAAACTGTGCGACTACTGTGGCCTGGGGAAGAACCTTGTGATCGGATTTCCTACGGGGCGGCATCTGAACATTGAGGAAGTTCAATATTATTGAACACATGAAAAATACTTTAACTGATTACTAAAGCACACAAATCTCTTGATGAGTTGCCAAATATGGCTGAAAAATACTGATATCGATCCTGAGGAAGTCCAGAGTTATATTTGAGTACACTGATCTATAAGTTCTGAACCTGATTCGAGCATCTTAACTAAGTCATGATTAATAAATTTCTAAGCATAGACAAAGTAATTTATTTATAACTGAAAAAAAAAACATAAATCAGCACTTACCTGTAGTCGGCGAGGCGTGAGCATGACGGTTCAGGTTTTTTGAAAATTTCTGACTCGTAAAAACTTTTCAGAGACGCAGAAACGTGCTCTGATACCAATTGTAACACCCCGCTATTTACTTGAAAATTCAGAGTGCGCTTTTTCGCAAATTTTCTAAATAAATAAATAAAATATTTATTTTGCGAAAACTGATTCGGAGTGTTACCGTAAAATCTGACTTTTATCTAAAAACCGTTAATTTTTAATCTGATAATAAAACGGTTATAAATATATTAACCGACTAACGTCGGGTCAAAGCTGATTTAAAGTACTGAAAACTGTAGCGGAAACATCAGCGTAGCCAAAACATAATATATACATATCAACAAAAGTCCTGAACCGCTCGCCGGCTCACTCCTCGTCCCCGACTTTGTGACCTGAAAACATGAAATACGTGGGGGCCTGAGCACTAAAACATTATGCTCCGCAGAAACTCATACTAAAGTAAAACAGTGAAAATAATAACAATATCATGATCCTGGCATATATAACTGAACTGAAACTAAAACTTATATCTGATACCGGTACTGAATAATCTGATACTGATCTCGTGATATACATCACCTGACTGATAACTGAACATCTGACAGCATAAGCCGGACACCATGTGCACACTCTAGTGGGCAGATTAAGGCCACTAGAACTCAGAATGGACCGGCGACCATTCCGAGCGGATACTGATAATACATACCTCAAACATGGTAGCGTAATTATAATCAATGTAGTACTTAGTCTGAGTCCCCACCTGATCCGTGAAAATGAAAGGTAGTGATGATGACTGATGCCTGATCAAACTGAAATATAATATAAACAATTACTAAGGACTATGCTCAGACTGATAAATTAACAGATTAATTATGTTAAGATGCTCTACTAAACTCAACATGATATTCGGACTTAATA